CGCTGAACTTTTCATCCAAAAATAATATTTTTTCTATATCCAAATATCCTTAATTACTTCATGGATGGTATTTCATAAAATGAAAGAATAAATTTTTTTTAATTATTTTATTCCTGAAAGATAAAATTAATACAGTATACACTTCTGTATACATTTCAGTTATATGATAAATAAAGGAACTCGTCAAATATAAAACATTTTCATTTCATATAAAATGAACAGAATATTTAATACATAATACTTAACTATCACAATGAGTTTTACTCAGCAGATGAGTCATGACTTGACTCCTCACTAGAAATGTTAACACCATCATTAATATTTTATCAGTCTGACCGCCAGTTTTTCTCGCATATCCATATTCGTACATATTTTTATTATGTAAACTTAAACGCTTCCTTGTAATTATAAAACTAGAACATTTCTTTTTTTTTTGCTTTAAAAGCTGATCTGACAATTATACTAGAATTAAGTGTTTTAGTTTTCATGTTACTCCTTTTCTTAGTTTTAATGTATAACAATTGAAAAAATTCTCTCACATTCTGTATTTGAATGTGGCAATGCTAAAACCTTTTGAGCTAATTTACAAATGTTTGAAAATATAAATTTTCCAGAAAAATGTTTCATTTTAGAAATTTCATGCCACATTTCATCAATAGGCTTATTCTTTACACATTGAATTTGATTTGATTCTAAAGAAAATGGCAAGGCTCTGAGTTCACTCTGAGCAGAGTTCACATCTATCTTAAATATTGCACAAAATTTTGAGGTATCTTTTTTCTTTATCTACATCAATATTAAGACAAATTTTAGGATCTATAAATCCAACCTCTAAGAAAACAACTGAGTCAAGTGGCAGCCTGCGTTGCATTTCTTGAAAAGTGATGTAATAATGCTGAATCACATTTCTTACATTCATACCTACAGTAGGATCAATACATTCTGAGTACAGGCAGTCCCCGGGTTACATGGATCCGACTTACATCGGATCCCTACTTACAAACGGGGTGAGGCAACCCCGCACTAGCTGCGCTCCGCGTCTTCCTGGTCTGCTGCCCCCCCCAGCAGACCAGGGAGACGTGGAGTGGCTTTTCTCAGCAGACACCTCAGCTTGAGAATAAAGGACTGAGGGAAGTGAGGTGTGGGAGAATAAAACTGAGCTCTGGAGAAATGTTTGGCTAGAGTTTCCCCTACAATATGTACCAGTTCCGACTTACATACAAATTCAACTTAAGAACAAACCTACAGTCCCTATCTTGTACGTAACCTGGGGACTGCCTGTACTCCTCACACTCTGGATCAATATACATTTAATTAGTTTTGATAAAATTAGAGGGATGTGACATTAACTTTCGTTAATTCACCTTTTAGGAAATGTGGATTTAAGTAATTTGTTGCAATTCCTTTGAAAAGTTTCACTGACTCTGGTTTAATGCAATGAATGAGTGGAGATTTGCTTTGAAAGAGAGCACTGAATTTGTTCATGTAATCCAAAACATATTTCAAAAATAGTAGGTAGGCTTTAAGTTCTGGATTACACATTGCATCATATATTTCTTTTGCTTTTGGACTTTTTTGATCGACACACTCAAGTTGTATATAGTTAAACAGGGCATCCCCCAACACTAATATTCTGTTTACACAAGGGTGTACAGCTAACCACCTTGTTTGACTTGGTTTTAACATAGATAACTTTAAATGGAGAAAACATTCAACCATCTCGATTATTTCTTTCTTTTTAACACTATGTGCTGGATAGTTAGTGATATTTGTTATAAACTGCTCTATGAAATCAGGCAGAACTGTAGAAGCTGAACTGGATATCAGGGCTGCTGTATGGCAAATACATCTCAGCAAAACAACATCTGGAACATCCTCTCTAAGTTTAGAGAAAAAGGAATTCTTTGCTGCTCTCCTCAAATTTGCACCATCAGAAGCAATACCCAAAATATTATTCAATGGGATTTTTTTTGAGCATTGACTCCTTGAATTTAGTATAAATGGCTTCCGCTGTACAATTCTAAGCATCAAGCTCAATGAAGTCACAGGCACCCCTATTGCCCACGCGAGAGCAGTTTTTGATAAATCTGAGTCGTCCGCGAATTTCTATTCCAAAGGAACGACCCAACGAACAGACATTTTACGTTCATTGAAACTTTCCCAGGATTTAACAGATTTTCAAGAAAATTCCCAGTTTCCCATCTGACACATTTTACTCAGAGTCCCAGCACGTGGGGCCTTCCCCAGGCTCTAGGAACGCTGCGGGGCGCGCCTTTGCCGGCAGCGTCACGCGCGAGCGGGGAGGGGGGGCGGGGCGGCCTGTGCTCCAGCGCCCCCTGGCTCCCCGCGCACGGCAGGTTCGGTGTGACGTGCCCCATGGCACTGCCGACGTCAGACGCACGCCAACAGCTGGGCTGCGCGTGCGCCAGGCGCGATCTGGGCGCCCGGGGGCGGA